CTCAATTGAGACCTGTTGAGGGTAAATACGCATTTCAAAGTAAACTTTGGGATTTAGCTATAGAGGAAAACATTTTTCTGAAAAAGATATATAGACAAAGTGATGAGTATTTTATCAGAGGTCTTGATAGGATGAGATTCGGAAAGATGGACAAGGATTTCCTTTCATTTATAAAAAAATTAGATAGGGAGGTATAATACGAAGATGGAAGAGAGCCGACAAGACTTTTTTCCACGAATAAAGAAGTTACGATATGTAACATGAACAAGTTGAATGATATACCAGGAGAGATGCTGAAATATGTTTCTGGTAAAAGAAAATATATTATTAAAATTAAAAAATATTGATTTATAATATTTATTATTAACAAGATATGATTTAAAAATTTTATTTTTGCATATAATTTGTAAGTATTAATAAATTATATGATGATGTTATTTTCAGAAAAAAATATTTATTAATCATTTCATTCATTCTATAGTGTTCTATGAAACCATGCACATTTACGTATTGGTGAGTAACATTATTATTAATCTATCATGATCATAAATAAGGCTGTTATTTGAGAAGGATGTTTTTTGAGATAAACATGAAAAAACGTAAGAGAACAAGGTTGAAACCATTCTGGACTGATGATACATCTGAGATATCAAAGAAATTATGGTCTCATAACGATGTTATCGTGAGAAAGACCAAAGATAGTTGGTTCAACGTTTGTGAGATGGTCTCGTTGAAAGAAGAGAATCCACCTAATATCATGTTTACGAAACAAGAGAAAAAAGAAATCAAAAAGACAAACGTTATTTTGAACAACAAAAAAGAAGTTGAAGAATTGAAAACCAGAAAGATACGTCTTTACCCAACTATTGATGAGAAAAAGACACTCAAAGAATGGATGCGAGTATCTGCATGGACATATGATAAAGCATTAGATCTTATCAAGGATGATCCAAATATCACATTGAAACAATTACGGAGATCATGTGTGAATAAGGATGTTGTAGACAAAAATATATCTAAAGTTCCATATGATATAAGAAGTGATTCAATCATTGCTTTGTTAAGAAATATCAAGGTCAATAAAGACAAGTGTGATAGATTTGTAATGAAGAAACGTAAAGAAACAAGAATCATGAGTTTTGTAGTGCAGAAAAAAAGTTGGGATTTAATGAAAGGTGTATATTCATTCTTGAAAAATATCAAGACCAAAGAAAAGAAACCAGACATCAATCATGCTGTAACCGTAAAGATGGACAGAATGTCAAGATATTGGTTGTGTGTTCCTGTATTATTAGAGAACAGAGAAAGGATAGTACACAACACACTCTCTATCGATCCTGGTGTACGGACATTCGTAACAGGATACAGTCCAAATGGAAATGTCATAGAGATCGGGAATAATGACATCCAAAATATAAGAAAGATCCAAGACAGATGTTTCAAGTATCAGTCAATCATCGATACGTCATTAGGTATCGAGAACAAGAGAAAGAGATATCGATTACGGAAAAAGATAATAAAAACATATGAAAAGATCAGGAACATGATCAATGATTGCCATCACAAGGCTGCTAAATATTTGTGTGAGCATCATGCATAGATCTTGATACCAGATTATCCTATCCAGGACATGACAGAAAAGAAGACTAAAAAGAGAAGGATCAGTAAGGAGACGACAAAGCGTATGATTAGATGGTCACCACGTAAATTCCTATATTTCTTGAGACATAAATCTCGAGAGTACACAACAGACATTATTGAGTGTACCGAAGAGTATACTAGCAAGACATGTAGTGTATGCGGATGTATCAATGATAAATTAGGGTCATCAAAAGTGTTCAAGTGCGAAGATTGTGATTATATCTGTGACAGAGATTTCAACGGAGCTAGAAACATCCTTCTCAAATACCTGACAGAAACCGGGTTCCTACACCCTTAAGATTGCTGATTTGTTGGTAATGTTTTTACTAACAATGTTGCGTTTCAATGTAGGAGTTGATTGGTCAGTAATGAAAGACAATATTGATGACGAAAACAAAAAAAAGATAAAGGATAAAGGTGGATTATCTCATCCAAAATTAGTTAATTGGCTAGACAAAAGTACGTTAGCTGAAGAAATTTTGTATTTGAAGATCGGCGCAGAAGTATTTTACATTTGGAATTCAGATGATAGGAGGTTGGTTAACGGAACTCAAGGTAAGGTTGTAGCGTTTAGAAATACAAAGAGTGACATGGTATACGAAAAAGATCTTCCAAAAGGTATTTCATTGAATGAGGTAGTACCGTTAGTCAAATTTGACGGGATCGAAGAAGTGATAGAGGTTGGAAAGGAAAGATTTATGAAAAAAAATAATGAGGGTATTTTGATGGTGACACGTACTCAATTACCGTTAAAATTGAAATACGCAATGTCTATACATAAATCACAAGGTTTAACAATTGAAAGGTTATATATAAATTGTGCAAAAGTTTTTCAAAGT